TAAACAACAAAAAATTAAACTTTAGCCTGTATCCTATTTTACCTACGTAAAACATGCACACGAGTTTTGTTCTTATTCTTTTCATTATTCTTAAACTTTGTTGTATTTTATTTTTACTTTTTTCTCAAATACTTATAGTATTATTACTCACAAACACATACGTATATGATGTGTAAATATCTGCATGAAACTCATATCCGTGGATTCGTTAAGCCTAAATGACTGCGCAGATCAGTCATCTCTATAGGAATAATAGACTAGATACAACGGTCAGAGGCCTACCTGTATTACTAAACTTTGGATGTAAAGGACGAGTATACAGAGCATTCGAACAATTCGACGTTCTCGCTTTTCATAAGGCCACAGACCGATCGACTCCATTAGCTGTCGGGTGATATAGTACTCATTGTCAAAGAAATCCATTCCGACTGGTAGTCGCTGCGATTTTGTGCACGCAGATTTGCAAAGATTGCGCGATCCTACCATTCCACTACATTATCGGAATATTTTAGTAGCTATTACAAAATTATTGCATGCATTTTCCGCGTCATGATGATGGTAATACGTGTCATTGCGAAGAATCTGATACCGGGAGGACAATTTATAAATTTGCCTATTACCAAATGGTCTTTAAAGTAAGATTGGATGAGTCATTTGACTATCGTGCACCGTGCACCACCGAGAGAGTGATTGCAACGTACAGTAACTAAATTACATGTTCAATGTAACTATTGGTGGCTTTCCCAGGGGTTGCACGGCAGCGGTTACAGAATTATATGCACGCGCGATACGACGAAGAATTTTTCGCATTCATAGTCGTTTGCGAAGGGGGGTCGTAGAGTGATGGTTTTTCTTCCAGAAAGATATCTCGCAAATATATTACAATACCGACAAACTGGAGAAGATGCGTGTAAAACCATTAGTTTTGAAATTAACTTTGACAAAGGGTACGAAAGTGTACGTGAAGAAAATGATCATCGATGCACACGTGCGAAGGTCCGAGTGTTATGTTTCGGAAAATCAAGTAAGACAAATATATTTCCTCGTGACAAATGATAGTAAAAAATCTTGCGTGTCATGCTGAAGTAAGTTTTATTGCGTGATAGCATTCTTTATAAAGTATAAAAAAGGATTGTAGACGATCGTAGCCATTTTTGCCATAATGATATCAATCATGTCCGAGTGGAATAGAGTAGCATAGTGTATGATAAAGACGAGTTAATAAGCTGCAACAAAATTTATATAGTTTTGCATTATTCATGCTAGATTCATTACACTTTCTCCAAAATACTTGTTTTTCTTTAAATATATTTATTCGTAATAAAATGATTACCGCAGCAACTCCGTCCAATGAGAATGTAAATAATGAATTGCCAACATCGAACACGACATTCTTTGAGGATCTGTGTAGTATAAATAATATTTTTTTTTGAATATGTGGAGACACCATGTACCATTGTACATTATAACTGTAAACATAAATCATTAAACTCCCTGTTGGTTACATAATTAGTTTCTAAAATTAGTCTGTGAAGTAAACATTGCAATTTATTTACTAGAACAAATGGGCTATTTATTTTGAATTTGGCACTTACGTTTGTACAAATACGTCGATACTGTTGTCTATTAAGTTTTGACCGAAATAATTAACCCAAAATATATAACCTAAATGAGCGGTGATGAATAAAGCAAGATAGATTGCATGGTTCGTGTGTTTTGATTCAATTGCTTTTAATAGCTAGGAGAAAACAAAAAGCATGATTCCCGTTAATTAAAAAGAAATTGCTAGAGATTGTATTAACGCAACAAGTTTTACTCACTTCAAATACATTAATGCTTAAAGAAGCTATCCAGAACACGCACAAGATCAAGTAAGAGATAGAGAAAGTAGAGCATAAACATTCGACGAATCTTGAATAAAAGAAAAAAATGGTAAACATGTATGCATGTGCATATATGCAAATCTTTTATATATAATTTTCTGCGAAACATTGATTTTAACCAGTTTATATACTTTCAAATACAATCCAGTGTGTACACATAATATTTTAATGTAAGCAAGCTGTGACTATATTATCTGCCCTAAATTATCCTTATATTAATACGCACTCTAAAGATCGTTTGTGAATCTTGATAGCTTTAACTAATTTGATACAGATGGCGCACTTTGATTTAACTATACTTCTCTCTTGTAAACGAATTGTCGAATGATTGTCGAATGCGTGCAAGATACGATAACTGAAGCACCATCAAACGTATAGTTTAAAACAATTCAGAAACTGACAATATAATAACAGAATAATATATATATAATATATATAATAACTAATATCTTACCTAGTAACCTTCAATAATCCGCAAGCGTGTTGTATGCATATCACATATAACAATTCAACAGTTAATAGTATAGTTAGATCTATAGAAGAAATTACTAAGAAGTTTAGACTAATAAACAGGAAATATTTTTCCTGGTCGAAAAAGGTTTCGATTACAATCGGCAATTGATGTCGCCGAGGCTCATTCAATGGTGCCACAATATCGAGAACGTCCGGTACAAAAAATAATGTAATAAAAATCAGAATGCCAACATACACAATGACTAAAATAAATGAACAATTATACGTACATATATTTTATATATAATTTTAACACAATTTTGGTCTCATGTTTCCGAAAAATTTGACAAAAGTAAATTATTGTAAATAAACTAGTGTAACAATATTGCAAAATATAATAACAACAAGAATAGTACAAAAATATATTATTCTTTAATTATAATGAAATAAAAATAAGTACTTGCAAATTCTCATATTATGAGTTTAGTTCTTACGTCCTGCCAAAATAGTATATGTTCTCCCCTTATTCGCGTATTGTTGTATTATTTTTATTTCTTCTGCATCAGTTAAAGCATGCCAGTCATATAGAACTCGCTCGAAAAGATACTTTACCTGCCAATGAAGTACTGTAATTGCTTGCAACGATTAATTCTACTGTCTCACACACACACACACACACACACACACACACACACACACACACACACACACACACACACACACACACAATGTACTATTCTACATATATATTCTATATAACACACAATTCTAATATGTATTTTAATAAAAATAATATTGTGTGCAACAAAAACATTATTAAAAATGTAGCACTATTGATAATAATTTAACTGCAAGGTAGTGCAAATTGAACTAAAGTAAATACCACTATATTATTTGAACAATAGATATTCAAAGTAATATTTCTTCTGCAATATTTCATTTGTATTATTGACCACTTTGTTTTGTCATTTTGAATTTTATTGATTAACTCACTTGTTCCGATTTGAAATATAGCACATTATATTTTATAGTGCAGATAAGAACAATAAAAGAGAAGGAAAATACTTTTGTAAGAAGATCCCTACTGTATTCAATCGTAATAAAGCTCATCAACTGAAAGTAATATTGTTTAATATTTGTTATCGTTAGTAGTCATTTTTTAATAGGTTTATTTTGAACCCTGTATACATATAAAATAAACATTCCATGTACAATAATAATTTCAACTTAATATATTATTTAATATATTAAGTATTGTAAGTCCAAATTTTTATAAATTTTTAAAAATTACATATATTCTGTACGACCTAAATAAATCTTATAAAAAAATAAAAGAATAATAAGTAACAATAGTAGTGATAACAATAATAATAAATTATACAATATAAGAATAAAATATGTCTATTAAAGTTATGTACCTGCACCATTATACCTAATAGTAGGACAAATGATACAAAAATCATTTTAATTCTTCTGGATTCTTCTTTTTGATAAGGCCATAATCCAATTGACGACATGAGAAGGCGGTTGAGATTGAAGTAGCGACTTTCAAACAAATTCATTTTGATTGTACGTTTGAACTACATGGGCACAAAATTCCTTTTCTTTCTTTAGTAAATGTTGTTGAACTGTTTTTTTTACTGCTTTGTTGGATCTTAATGCACTAATGCACTTATCCGAGATAATGTTAGATATTCGATACATTTTGAACAGAAAATTTTTCCGTGCCACACGAGGGGAAGTAGATAACGCGCAGTTCAATTTCGTTAATAGATCTCTTAACTTCGCACGGAAACATAGATAGATAAATAACGCTACACTAAGGAAATTATATATAATGACAAATAATCGTCCTATTAGGTATGGAAAGAAATGTATTCTCAGAAAAGAGAAGTTTTCTTCCTTTCAGTTCGCGCAAACGCAGTAACGAGTCATCTGCGTAGCTTATTGAATAAGAGTGCCATTCACGGTTGAACAGTCGGCCAGACACATAGTCGTTGCTTTTTCTCGAGGAATTGATTCTCTAGATAGTGTGCCACACGTTTGATTTTTAATAAGTAAGCGTTGATTAATATATTAATTAACATACTATCGATAAGTGTTCATATAACTAATTACTATCCAAATTGCGTAATCTGTAAGTTTAGAATATATTGAGGGAATCGTTGCGCGTTTGAATATGAGCAAATTATAGAATATATCATAAATTTTAGCCGCGGTTACTTTATAACGGTTACTATTTAGATGTGAAGAGTCTCTGTGTACTTACAGGGTGTTCAAAACGGGAAACCCCCTGAATAACTTTGAAAATACGCAAGATAAAAGAAAATGTTAAATACAAATGTTAAAAGTTACATGCAGTTTATAAAAAGACCTGTCTAGTCTTTACTAATTAAATGATACATAATGTTAACTCACGCACAACTAATCATGTTTGATTCTCGAAGCTCACTTCTCCTTGCGTTTTAATTTTAAACATCGAGAATGTTTAATAAACCACTCATTTAAATTAATATTACATTATACAATTTTTCTAAGAAATTTCTTCTAGAACTCAACAATGGGTATTTACAGATATGTATTTCGGTTTGACGACTGCTTGGGACAACTGCACGGCATCTATGCGAAACATCGTGTATCCACGCATTCACAAGTGTGTGATGCACGCATAATGGAACGGAGGAATGGGGATCGACGCGTTTTGTGATGTATGCATCTCTTCGTTGTGCGCTAATGCTGGCACATAGTTCTGTTAGACGCGGCCTGGCATAATTGTGCAATACGTGTATCTCGCATATCTCAGCGTGCATCCTTCCTTCCGTTCCCGCCCTTCGAGAGCTACGCTGCATACCTACCAAGCGCAACTTACTCAATGTCGACGAATAACGGGGGTTGCGCGTCGATACGTTGATTTTGCGCGTACCGTGGCTGGCAGACGAAATGTTCATTCTTCCAAACGACTAAATCGACACCGATTGGCATTAGCACAAATGTCCAAATCGACCTCCAAATCAATTTACGGCAAATCACGTCAAAATGTAAGTGAAAATTGTGCACGAAATGAAACATCTCGTGTCATCAACGATAAAATGTTACTTGTGCGTATTTCACATTACACACTTCATAGTAATCTTTCAAATATTATTATAAATAATGTTAATAATTGTTTAAATGTAAAAATGTGTATTTTTATACTTGTATTTACATTGATTTGTATTGTTGCCTTTTGTATATTGTTATTCAATTCTTAAAATTACTAACAAGAAAATTCTATTGCGTGTAATATAATTAATATTTTACGGTAAAACGCGAAGAGTTGATAAGTGATATCTGGTTCTTGTTGCAATTTTAGTGAAACATATCTTCTTCAAGTTGTAAAATTCTCAAGAGACAGCTATAAATAAGATTCTGCTACATTCGTAGACTATTTGATCATGGCAATATGGCGGTAAAACCGGTTACGAATAACGACGATTGTAACAAAAAGCAAGAGCCGAACCAAAAAACTGGTAAGCTTCGGAAAACGAAAGGAATCGCTAGCAAGTGGACGAAAGCGAGTATTGAATCAATAATTTAATTAGCTATATAATTGGTATCTTTCTATTTACGTAATATTTTAATGTGTGCGTATATTTTTGCATACATAATATTTTTTCAGATAAAACTTAATATCATTAATAAGAATCCGTCATTATCAATTAACTTCAAGAATCTGGATCATGAGGCATTTCTGTCTATGTTTTTAAATTAACATAAAAATAATATTAAGAAAATATAATAGGGACTTCAAGGCAGAAAATATGGAAATACATCAAGTAAGAGATGAGCAATAAATTTCTATATCTAATAAATTTTATGCAAATAGATTAGAAGACATTCTCAATTTAAAGACACAGACAGACATGATTGTAATGCTATATAGCAGAAATAAACACAAACCGTAGGGTTTTTATAATTTTAATACCCTCTTTTACATCTTTCTTCTTTATACGTTTGCTGTACTACTATAATATTATTATATCAGGTCAGCTTAGAACTGGTCAAACAGGCTTCTAAATGGAAAGGGCCTGGAGTAGTTTAATAACACGATCTATTTAAAAAAGACGTTTAATATACATTAATTATTATATTAAATTTTTTATTATATTAAATTTCAGCAGAAAATACGTGACTGTCGCTAAGCGGCTTTCAGTTAAATACTTTTTCGTCCCCTGAAAAAACTGTAAAATAAAATCGCATAATTTTTTTAAACAACAGCAAGTTTAAGTTGACAAAGCTAAAAAATACGCTGGTTGTAAATGCTGTATATACAGGGTGTCCCATCTTAACTTTCACACTCGAATATCTCCACGACGGTTTCGGGGAAAATATTTTAAACAAAAGCTGTATGGTTTTAAGGGAGGCCATTCAGTAGCGGTAGAAGATTGCTTGGCTTTAATGCTCACTTGGCGTCATTTTCAAGGTCATTTGAAGGTCAAGTCAATTTTAGAAAAGTAAGTAACTTTGTCTAAAACATTTTATTATTTGCCTAATACTTTTTGAGATATTCAAGAGAAAATTGATAACTTTTCCAATATTTAGCTCATGATATCTCGATAACTGTTTGTGCAATGGTGCATCAATTATTGAAAATTTTTGTGTATGTAAATTTTGTGTATGCTACAATACACAAAAAATTTCACTAATTGAAGCACCATTGCAACGGCATATTCCTGAGACCAAATCAAGTAAAATAGTCCTGTATTACTTTTCCCTCCGACAAATAGTTATCGAGATACCGTGAGCTAAATATTGAAAAAAGTTATTAATTTTCTCTTGAATATCTCAAAAAGTATTAGGCGAATAAAAAACTGTTTCAGACAAAGTTACATACTTTTCAACGAAGAATCAGAATCTGCAATACAAAGTATGGATTTCTATTTAAAAAATTGGACTTGACTTTCAAATGACGTTGAAAATGTCCCCAAGTGACCAATCTTCTACCGCTACTAAATCGCCCCCGAAACCGCCGTGGTTTCGAGATATTCGAGTGTGAAAGTTAAAATGGGACACCCTGTATGTATAAGTGAAAAGGCTTGCGGCCAAAATGTTTTCATATTATCGTGCTTATACCAAAAACAAATGTATGCGTTTATGTAAACGTAAATGCAAATGCAAGTTATGTAAATTTATTCTAACTTATTAACATTGATACTATGCCACAAGCTTAATGTGCTACACGACATCATTCTCACATTTTGTGTCAACAAATCAATAGAGAAATTTCAACGATTACGTATAAAGATTAAGTAGAAATGTTCTGATATTGATTTTTGTTACGCAATATTGCTTTTAACAATCTTTCTTATAGCATCTTAAACTGATAGCAATATAAATTCTACTTTGTTGTATATAAGACGTACACATATTTCATCATCCTTTTCTTTAATCTTATACGGCTGTGCGTATATTAACGTGAAATGACGGTGTCAGATACTAAATGCGGCCAGTACCTTGTATTCCCCTCTTCGTACCTGCATCCTTTAACGCATAATACGCGATGCGAGTCATCGTTTTGTACTTGGAGCAGTTAGGCCCCTTCAGATGCAGTTTCCTTCCCGAATTTATCGCCCGTCCGAATCGCGGACAAGTCCATATAACCCGTCCATGATCTCGGTTCCCACCTAACGGCCCGTGCAAAACCTGCGCACTCGCCGCGCTGTTTTCATTCTTGTATAAATCTCATTGCAGGCAATATATATTGTACGGTATTCCTTTGGTCTTCTCGCTCATATCGACCATTGGAATTTATCTCACTGACCAGACGCGAATAACCGAGATGAATCGTTGCCGTGCCGCCTTTTAATTTCGTCCTTTATCGTTCTTATTGAACGTGCGTGAGAGATACGGAGTACTCTTCATCCTTATTCTTTTTAATTTCAGATGCTGATCACAATAATAATGTCGGGATAATTTGATACACGTAATAAAGGTAAGATATATTTATACTCGAATATCTGAGCTTTATGTTTATGCGTGTTTTCAATATTAACTATTTGACACTTGTAAAATTAACTTGGTAATTTTATTCAATTGCATGTAATACGTTTCTCTCTAAAATTACAAAGAGTAAGAAATATAAAAAATTGTAAATGCACACATATTTATAGTGTAAATGACTCAGACTCGATCATTGTGATAAATACTTTAGTTGAAACTCTTTCACAATCTCTGCATAAACGTATCTTTTATGCGCGCCTGCGTGCGTATGTAAGAGAAAAACACAAATTAGTAAATTATGAAAAAAATTTGACCGTAAAATTATACATCTAATATTCCCTGATGTAATTTTGCATTCCCTGCAGCCGAAACAATACGAGAGACGAAAGAATTCCAGAAACAACCATGAAACAGTAGGCATAACTTCTAACACGGTTGACACGCCGGTTACCGCAAGCCGAAAGCAGCTAATACAGCAAGTTATCCACTTAGAAATCCGACGGAACATTGCGAGAGAAGAGTTTGAGGAGAGTCGGAGGGTGCAGGAGGCTGTTACCAACTTTGGATAAACCGGGCCAAGTTTCCTGGCTCGGTACTTACGAAACTGCCACGCGAAAATGTTCAAGTTTATTCTTCCCGCACGCACCGACAGAGAAATACCGCGGGCATCGATTTACATAACGATTAAGTTAATTAAGCGCTTAAATGCGTTGTTTATCAGGGCTGCCTTGAAGGTAACATGTCTTCAGAATCGATTTTCGTAGGGCCAGAATGTTTAATAAAATAAACATGTATTTGCCTGAGCCTTAAAAAACTATTTATAAATAATTATTTATAAACAATTATATAATGTATTTTATTCATTTATTCCGTACATATATTGATTGTATCAGGTATAAAAATATCTATCTCTTTACTTTGTACAGAGTTTCACAATATTGTGAGATTTAAGATCCTATATAGTTAGGCTCTCAAAATATAAAAATAAGTGGAGGGTAGGAAGGCCAGTGCGAGCCGTACGGAGTTAATAAGGAGTTAATAAAGTAGTCATGGACAATTTAATAGTAAAACGTAAAATACAAACGTTTCGATCAACTGCGGACCGATCATCTTCAGTGTACAAAAAATAACTAAAACTAATAAAACGTTTTAACGTATGGTTGGTATTCTCCTTCTCTTTAATTGTTGCGTTTTCTGCTGAATTTACGTTGAAATTCTTCTTTCATTATTTTTAGTTATTCTTGTGACACTGAAGATGATCCGGAGTGGATCGAAACGTCTGTATTTTACGTTTTACTATTAAATTGTTCATGACTATTTTAGAGACTACGCCTCATTAACTGCGTACAGTTTGCGTTGGCCTTCCTACCCTCCACTTATTATTATGAGATTTAATTTACGATTCATTGTGCCGTTTCTTAATTTTCGTCGATATATGTGGTTACATATATAGAGTAAACAGAATTTAAAAAAATAAAAATACAATTTCTCTTATATTCATTATCGTGTAATATCATGTTATCGGTAAGTATTGCCGTAAGCAAAAGTTTAATAAAATCCTAAGGGAAATTTCTGTTTCACAAACTCTTAATTCGCGAAAATATTTGAGAAGAATTATACACCGTTTAGTATTGTAATTCTTTTTAAACTTTATCACACATTCGTCACACGAAGAGAATATTTGATGTCGCAATGAAATATTTTATGTCGGAACTTTAAGCTGACAATTTGTGTCCTACAAAATGGTCCGTTGCGATATTTTATCGAGAAAATATTGGACCCAGTCGGGGATTTGAGATATTTCAGCGTGGTCCTGTTCTCTAAAGATAAGATTCTCGTTTTCCATCAAGGTCACATGTCCACGCAGTGACAAAGGGAACGTTTGCTATTTTCAAAGAATTATGTCGAATTTTTGCAAAAGTTCCTTTGAAAAAGTTTTTATGTTTTCATCCGTGCCTCTTTCACCCTCTTTCTTTCTTTTTCAACACTACCTTCTTCTGTTGCTCGTATCATTTAAAAACTCGTATATTTATAGATGCCGCGTTTGAAAAATAATACTTATTTTAATTTTGAAATCTGTTTTGAGAGATAGAAGATAATTAGCAGAAGAGAGATAATTATATAATTAAACTTCCGCTTTGGAGTGTCTACAGAATAATGTTATTCCACTTCTTTATTAGATTTTATCTGAATAGGTCGCCCGCCAAGAGAAAATCGAAGGGTGTCTTCGACAACTCGTCAGAACAGGACTTTCTTCGAGCAAACACATTTCCGGCATGTTGTATAACGTAAAAGTAAAGGAAAGATGGTGCGGAGGAGGGAATAGTGTATGCAGACGCGGGCCTATATCAAAAGTTCGCTTCCGTTGGGGCCCGCGAAAAAGGAGATGATGACATGGCTGCGTCAGGTAAGTTGACTCAGGACGAAATTGGTTTCGACGCGTGTCGGCGAATGTCGAACTTTCATCGTGATACCTTCACTTAGATAGACATCACTGTACTTTCGCAGTTATGGAAGGAAAAACTACAGAAATTCTTCAAAGAAATATGCATAGAAAAAATATTTGCGCTTGCAAATTTAAAACACAACTCGAAATTTATGTTTTGCTCTCATGCTAAAATTATCCTTCGCATCGTATAAAATGTTAATAATTATATAAAATTTTACATTATTAACAAAATTTTTTCAAACGTGCTAATTTATATTTTCACAAAAGAAAAGTATTTTATAATTTTTCGAGAGAAGTAAATTTGGCATGGAAAAAGATATGGTTAAATCCTCTCGTGATTAACGTCAGTCAAATCCCACGATTAAAATAAACACTTGACAGATAATTTATTAAAAGTAATATGCGCTAAGTCCGCTATATTATGAGTTTTATAAAAATATATTTATTTTAATATTTAATCTATCGATATATCATTTAACATAAAATAGAATCCTTCGACTTTTATAAACAGCCCAAAGATCACAGTCTTTTTCGTTCTTCATTTAAATCATGAATTTTTATAGTAATGATGCTTTATGAAACTTATTTTAACTGTGTTAAAAGTATTTTTCTTGTATGTCGCTTTCCAAGGTATACGTTATAACTCACTCAAGTTTCAGTGGTTATCTCAGCACAAGTATTTGATAAATGTCATCGAGAGATACGCGGACATAAAAGCAAATAAAAGTGGTACTCACGATATCAAAGTCCAGATTCTCAGCAATCCAGTCGCGCCCTTGCTTAAACTCGTCGTGTAGACCCATGATATAAAGAGAGTCAAGTCCATCGACGATAGTCGCACCCATATTCGACGCCCCGAAGATACTGGCACTGTGACCTCTCTTCGAGATTGGTCTTAATTCGTTTTTCCCCCATGCATAACGCACGTAGTTGTCCCAGCCATGCTTCATCATCTGCGGCAAAAAAGTGCAAACATTTCACTCTGCGAATAAAAATATCCATGTTTTCCTCCAATGTACGTAAAACAGGGTCAATTATCGACCATCACACAATTGCTGTGATGAATATTATAAATCTTCTTTTCGAATTCTACACGGAGAGAATTTTCTCTTAAAATTTATTCTGAAAATCATATAATAGGATAACATTTTGAAAAACTTTAAGAGAAGTTTTAGAAACTTTACCATACATTTTACTAGTAATTATACTTACAATTAGTACACAGTTTATTAGTAAAATGTATGGTAAAATTTTCAAAAACTCTCATAAAGTTCTTCAACATGTTGTCCCACGATTACATGATTTTCAGAGTAAATTTTAAGAGAAAATTTTCTCCGTGTGCACTTTCTTCGGCATAAAAGTTTAAGCTTTTCAAAGGATTCACAGTCAACTACACGGCAGCTCGTATTAAAAATTAATTGCGATGTTAAAAATACACACCAAGTATACGTACAAATCGATGTCTCCGAATTTTGGAATCTCCCTTCTATAATTAACGGTGTGCACAGTCGAAGCCTTGATACCAAGGATATCAAGTTTCTAGGATGATGGACGCTCCACGTGAGCTGTTCCGTGAATAACAAATATATCGCCCGGTCCGTTCGTTGACCGTTATTTCCGTTTCTCTTGATTTTTCGAGCCATTTGCCGGGCACCCGCGGTCACGGTCGCTTCATCACGTTTTTATGACGGCATAATTTAGGAGCAATATAATATCGAAAAGACCTGGCCAGTGGCATTACCAGAAGAGCCCCTTCCTCTCCCCTTCTTCGGCCGCGGTTGTAATAAATAAAATAAAAAAGTGAAAATCGAAGACCACGAGGAATCGCGAGACAACGGCGGAAGAGAAACGCATGTCATTTCACAATTATCTACGCCCTGAGTCGCATCGAAATGAATCGGATTTATTTTCTGCGACTTTCTGCAACGTGCAATTACGATTAACCCTTTGAAGCATGGTGGTAACCATAGACATAGTAAATATAGACTGAGCGTCCCATTGAATAAGCTGAAGCTTGTGAAGAAAGAGAGAGAGAGAGAGAGAGAGAGAGAGAGAGAGAGAGAGAGAGAGAGAGAGAGAGAGAGAGAAGATTTAAGATTTTCTTTCTCTGCCTTACATTATCATAAAAGAAAAGAATCGTGCCTGCGCCTCCTTTGTCACCATTGTGAGACAGAGAAAGAAAGTCTTCTTAAATCTTCTCTGTCTCTCTCTCTTCACAAGCTTCAGCTTATGCAAGGGGACGCTCAGTCTACATTTACTATGTCTATGCTGGTAACTCACGTTACCACCTCAACTTCTTTACTTCTTCTGGCCATTTAATTTCTAGTCAACGCATTTAGGTCGAGTTCTTTTTGCATTTTTTTGGATATCTTAGCAATAAAAATGTTAACTCTGGGTAGTGACAACAATGAGTAAATTCTAAGAAATGATCAAATTTCAATTTTGCACCCGCCATTTCGCGCGTGCTATTTTTATATTCTATAAGAACTTTTAACTGGAATTTAGATTCCACGTGTCCTAATAATATCTAAATAAGGTTTCTTAGCATAGTTGAATTACAGTCGAATGATGTCGCTCTTTTTAGATTTGAATTGCACCATCTTGAACCCGCCATTTTGAATTATGAAAATCTGATAACGGATTCGTAATCAGCGACCCCAAAAATCCTTGTACACTGAGAGACCCGTTTTGTTGAATGAAACAAAATTTATTTGCCCCAACTGAATTTCAAAGGGTTAAGACGGTACGTTTATTCGAAGATCTACAGAAATTGTTTGATGCAACGACGAAGTTCTCCAGTTTCGGACCACGGAAAGGGTGATAAGCGGGCGATAACCGCGCGAGGGTGAAAACGTTGAAGCGGGCTGTCGCGGTAAGGATGCAAAATTCCGTGGAGCACGCAAGGCGATGATGTCGCGTTATTACGTCCCCGCTTAGAAAGCGGGTTGGTGATGCAGAAAATTGCAGAGGACGATCACGATCGTACAGGTTGACGGCGGCATCGCGCATCGCGCCGTTCAACGCCTTCCGCCATTATCCATGTAATCGTGGATAATTTGTTCCGTAGAAACCGCGGCGAATGCACGGCACATGTCGGATCTGTAGCCGGTAATCTGGTTAACATCCATGTTAGGATTAAACCATTAGCCTCGGTGTCGGTCGGCGGATCGAAAGGGAACGGCGTGGAGCGGACACGGGAGGGGGCGAAGATGCAAGGCGGACAAGGAGAAGGCAAAACCTCGTGTCGGACGTGTGGCCTCGTTCAATTATTCTCTCTTTGTTACGTCACTTCCGCGGTAACCGGCTTCGCTCCCCGACTCATCCGGAAGACCGAGCTCCTTTTTCTTTCTTCTTTCGCTTTTGTAATCCAAGAGTAATCCATTAAAACCATTTAATGCGGTTAAGCAGTAAGCACCGGCTTGGAAAACGCGGTGCACCGGTCGCGCGCGCAGAGATGCCTATTTGAGTCGGCGATAAAATTATGCAGCATTTATTTTTTCTTCTTACCTATTTCTATTCGGGACTGGACCGCGCTAGGGTGTCAAACGTATCCGATGGATTAGGAGTGGGACAAGTAAAAGTGATCGCGACTCGCAATTTCCTCCGGGTTTTGTTTCCCCGGTGCCGCCGCGTCGACAGAAAAGAAACGCGGGAATTTATTATGAAACTCGCATGTAGCCCTGCATCCTAAATCTGCCTCTAATTAATTCAAGCTTATGGATAAATTCATTATTTTACGCGCATTACTCACGCGCAGACGAACCGCGGCAGGTTGGAGCATCGCAGACGATATGAATTCTGTAGAACACCCGCGGGAGCTCTCTCGCGTTTTGAGAGAGAGAAAATATCCTTTCAAATTGCCTGCGCTCCACGCATTTCCATTAATAAACAAAATGCGCGCTGGAAGGGAGGAAAAGCAGCGGCGCGGCTTCGGCGAAAAGGGAGCACGGGGTGGAAGAGGCGGCGCGGGGACTGTGGGGGGTTGTGGGAAGAGGGGGTGGGGGAGGGGGGGGGTGGCGATGCTCCGTCAGACGATTGAGTATGCATGGTACACAAACAAAGCAAAAGCTTTGGATACTCCAGGGGAGAGATGCACACAAATGCGCATCGGCGGCGGGTCCGCGCGCGGGTGTGTTGCCGATACCGGGCACGTATAAGTGTACTTAACCGTGGCGCTTTTATTTCCTCTCTTTATTTCCCGCGGTTTTCAATTTACGTTATTTATTGCCCTCCACGACCGTCCCAGTCGTCCCGCCGCGTCGGCGTCCCACCGTGATTTTGTGAAAGCACCCCCAAACCCTCTGCCGCCGGTCGACATACTCACACATCTGCCCGCGTGCATACACGCATGTGTATATGAAACGCGCGCGCTCTTCCCCGGCGCCCGGCACCGTCAGGAGTAGCGCGACTCCGTATATACGATATCCTTTTTTACCTGCGGTACGGCCGAGCCCGCCACGAGGGTCAACGTCATGAAGCCTTTTAAAAACGGTTCGCGCACGTCATAAAAATCTAACCGCGCCCGTCGCGCACAGAGAAGCGGACGCATTTTTACGCGTTGCACTTTTGAGGAAAAGTCAATCGGGGCGAGAAGGAAACTTAATATCCAGCGGAGAGGAAAGGCGAAGGAATTGGTGAGGACGAAATAAGAGAGAGATCGCGCGTTAAAAAGAAATAGAGCTTAAGATAGACAGTGAATTTTCGGTAAATTCGCAATCGCTCGCGGGGGTCTATCAAAAATTGATACCCTGAGTGTGAAAACAGTTTAATACCTAATGACTTTTCCATTTGTTGCTTTGTAAATTACGTTCATCGCGTAGTTTCGCGAATCAAGTCGCAAACGCATCGTCCTCTATATTTTTCGTTCGCTCAATTATGACGTTGAATGGATCTCATTTTAAACGCTGGTGAAATTTCTGACGTATCTCCGCGATTAAATGTGGTTACGTACAAAGGTTGTGTGCCCGAGTCGCCCACGATCAGACTGTCGAGAACGGAAGCTGAAAATTTATGTAACAATCACTCTTTACGGACCGCACGGGTTTTCAGCCAACTGATAACTTTTTATACCGAATCCATCGCCGTCGGAAAAGCCCCCCCCGCCTACGTTCTAAGTTTTTCTCGTTACTTTATTACACGCTTATCAGATATATTTAAAGCCCCAGGAATATATGCATCCGTCGCGCAAAGGCGCCACTGTATAATTGAAAGCGAGCACACAGCGGAAAGAAATATAAATGCATATTCATGCAACGTGTTGCATGCACCTCAAGTTGGGAGCGTGAGAGCAGGCGACACTATGAGAACCACTACGTAAAGGACGTTGTAGGAAATTCTACTCATCTCGAGCGTCTCTTGGCACATATACAACCCAGGCTCAATGCAACGAGTTTAGGTACAAACTGCCCGGGATATGTATATGTCTGCTTCCAGAAAGGTAGCAGCAAGAAGATATAAAGGTCGCATGAGAGAGATAAAGAAGGGACGAGAAAGGGGGGGAGAGAAAGAGGGAGGAGAGACAGAGAGCAGGGAGGAGGGGAGGCAGGACGAAACGGGATGACAGAAGGGACCTCGAAATCCTACATCCAAGGGGGTTGTAAACCTTCAACGGGATTTAGAGTAATTATAGCTTTGTTTATTATTGTTAGGCGAGTTGCGCATTGTACAGGAGCTCTCAAACCAACGCGAATTAATCTTTGCTAAGTGGAACCGATGTGGAACTGGCATCGCCATTTCTCTTCCCTCGCGCCATTCTGCGAGATCCGCGGATGAAAGGTAGCGTCAGAAGAGCCTGTGCCTTCGCTCTCTCGCCTCCCCCCGTCCTACCGCTTCGCGAACTCCATACTTCTATCATTATCCTATCCTGCCTCCCTTAACTAGCATCTTTCATTAAAGGAAGCCGTCACCATTGTGCCCAACTTGTATGACTCGATAGACAATGCGACTTTGTCGGACTCCCGCAGTTGCCGTTCACGCCGCCCGCTCTTGGATCCTCCCACGAAATTTCCAGATCTCTAAGTGCTAATTCGTGAGGAAGAGAATATATTCTGCAGACGCTATCGTAACGAAGCACCTGGCGCCGTGGAGCGGAAGAATGTTCAAACTGTTACTATGGTTCGCATTCAACAAATAACTACGCGACATGGCAAAACTGAAAAACCGCCGTTTTCATTATACAATATACTTTTGTGTTTCGTCAACTTGTTAAGAGATTAAAAATACTCGTCTTTTTTTATCCAAAAATAAAAGGAGTAATAATCTACGGGATAAAATTAAAAAGCGCACTGACACTTTTATATAATAATCAAAGTAGCTAACTTGATACTATGTGACAAAACTGAGACTGATATTTTCATCATATATTTCCGTTTTATCAATTTGCAACGAGATTAAAAATAGCCATCCTTTTTATACAAAAATAAAAAAGGAGGAATAATTTATGAGATAAAGTTAAAAAGGCGCAATAATATTTTTATATAACAATCGTAGTGGCAAACTTGATACTATATGTATCTGGTGAAAATGTTTTTTATTCCCTCTAATTGTAAGCTTAAAATACCATTTTCTGATTCTTTATATTCTTAATTTTTTAATGTTCATTTATTCGTTTCTGATTATTATTACAAAAATCTTTTGTAGAATTTACACAACGTACGAGTGATAATTTTTTAAGTAACTAAATGAAAGAGAAGCAGGAAGGAAATGAATAAAATTAATTGAAATTGGAAGATTTCTATAAACGCCCGGCTTATTTAATTTCTCACAAAAGCCTGTAGCCATTTGAATTCACTTCTCGCGGTTGGCGAGAGTGACGATTACTTCAAGTTTGAGAGGGTGAAAATTTAATATCTGATATGCGCGATAAAACGAAGTGAAGATACGCCTTAAACGTGCGGGCATGAAAAATGCGCGAGTGTTTTAATCAGCGTCGGTTCCATGGCATGATAATGGGTGGTCACGCCTACTGCATTAGCACGACTGAAAACAATTAGTCTGATGGCTACCCACGTTTCTCCGTTCGGAATTATTCAAGAACCGCGACGTAGCGATTTCCCTCGTTTCATCTGAAACCATGTGACGCCGTCAACGAGGTTGCGCAATGAGTTTAGCGCAACCGCGTTTTCTCGATCACAAAGAGAGGAAATACAAAATGTCTACGATAAACCAAAGAATGTAAAAACAATTGTTTTAAATCAAGGAACACTGACGTTATTAGGTTTCTTACTTTATTTCTGACTTTGGTTCCATTTCCCGAATAAAGTAAGGAATCGTAGTTTAGTTACTGCAATTGAAACGAAGCCGGTGAAAATATTTTTATAATAACCATTTAATTTGGAAATTCAGGTATTTCGAATTATATATTACTTTCCTGAAATCAATATCGTAATATTCATTCATATCATTCATAATATATACGCATAATATTCATTTTATTAACTAGTTTTAATAATCGCATTACATTATCGTTTTTCCAAGCAAACATACCGGCGTCGCTGATTGAAAGTGGGTTAGCGAGAGAAAATATTTAATTCTCTTTTCGTATTATATCCTCTAGCTTTACATTTTGCAAAATAGATCATGTAGAAAAGATTAACAATGTAAAATATTAGCGTTAAAAGTATATGAAATAATGAAATACTAATATGTCAAGTATTAACAGTTCTCTCGTTTCCAGATAAAAAGATGAAATGTCCATTTCATGACGCTGAATACGATCGAATTAATTAATCTGCCTATCGAAGTACGATCGGACCTACCCTTCGACGAGCACCTGCTCGTCATATGTTACTGCAAAGGACAAGAATCGATTAAACTCTAAATTGAGATGGCTACGCTGGATCAACTTAGTCATACTAGGTACGTCATGGAACATGACATTCGTGCGCTGGTCAATCTAGTTTGACACCTCACTAGACAGTTATCTGCCATTTTCCCCGTTTTTTGCAACTGTCGGTTGCTAGGGAGTTAATTGATTGAGTTCTGTTTGTCCATTTCTGATACAAACTCGGTATGTCGCGTTCGATTAATCTTGCTACCAAGAATTTAAATCTGACACAGAAAACATGTTTTTCATCATTATTAGCGCCTTCTCTGTTTTGAGATTGGCACGAAGTTCGTTTTCTTTCTTGCAAACATTATAATGCAATTTTGTAAAACTCTGAGAGGGACTTCAAGGCTGTGTTCCTTAATTAAATTTAATAAAGTAAATTTTTTAGCCGAAAATATAGCGTTAATCACAACTCTTTAATCTAAATTGTAATTTAATTTTACAACAATTTATTTGAACACTCTAACAATCTAATTGAATTGGATTATCGTAAAAAATTATATGGGTGTGTAATTAAAAAAAAATTGGTTTTATTAAGCTTAACTTATCGTCCCAAGCGATTTTCTCTTATTTTTTTCTACCCATTAATTCAAACGCGAATGTCGATGTGGCAGGACGAATAAAGAGCACATCGGTTTTCCCTTACGAATCTCTTTAATTTCCGCCACCATTTGACGCCACAGTGACGAACAATGCGACAGTGGTAAAAACTACCGTGAACAAAATGAGTTTTCGGAAAATGCAGGTTTCAAATGCAGAAAATGGATATTTCACCTTAAACCATACGTTTGTCAAAGTGAACAAAACGTAAAGTCAACGTTGAATAATTTTTTAGTGTGATAAAGAATTAGAAAAAATATATATGTATAAATAATTATAATAATATAAAACTAAGCATAATCTTATTGTGAGGCTTACCTCTTCGAGTTTAACCCTTTGCATAACGCACACCGGCATCCTCTTTTTTAAATCTAGCATGCATAACAAAAGTCAAGTGCGATCTTACCTCTTTAACTTTTTCACGGCGCTGGTTCGTTACATCATCCAGAGGTGGATTAGGCGGTCTAATAACGTAAATGTCAGGAACAGACGCGGCCGGCGCTTCGACCACCGAAGGCTCGAATTGTTTATGTCTGATATCTAAACGTCGATCTTTGTCCTTATCTTTATTTTTATCTTTATCATCGATTGCAGGCTCGTCCTGCCCAGGAACCACGTTGTCCTGCACCCAGGCTGGATTCAACTGTTCGCTACGCTCTTCCGGCGCGACACCCCGATCGACGACACTCGCGAGATCGCGCCGTGTTATAAATGTCCCGGTTATGAGAAGGATCAGGATCACGGACAGCAGTCCGCTGATCGCTAATCTTTGCATGAGCCTCATGTCGTCTAGACACTTGCCGCAGCTCGACCAGCCGCCTGGAGTCTCGGACTGGATTGCGCTCGTATTGGCAGAGCTATCAAGAGAATGTGAAAGATTCCTTGTCAAATGCAATTAATCATTTTTATAACTGAGAGTACTGATGTAACGGCAACCAACGATTATACACGGTTATATTCTGGGGAAAGAAAGACAGCAACCCATTTTGGGGCCGACAATTAGTATTCAAATTATTTGGATCGTTCGTAAATCTACTCTGGGAAAAATTTTGACCCATTTTTTGTAGTTAAGCAACTTAATACTTCGGTTGGTGCCTTTTAAATAAAAATTATCTTTGTGTTACTGAATATCGACAGAACTAATTGACAGAATTGATTAGTGTTATTAAAAAATCTTGGATATAGATAGAATAGTTAATTGCGATTTTTAGTTACACGGGGTAAAATTCGTAAGAGACTAGAGTTACGAACAATCCAAATAACTCGATTACTAATTTCGGGCCCCAAAATCGGTTGCTAACTGTCTTTCTTTCTCCCCCAGAGTATACGAAAGACAGTACAATGCATAAATTTGCGCGCACGCCTGCATATACGTATATTATTTTATAAACAATTTCCAAGTTCGAATAATATTAGAATACTAATTAATTTGAGTAATCTAAACTAAATTTGATAATGTAATATGCATTTCTTATAATCGATAATTAAAAGTTTTTTAACTACATTAGAGACGAAATAAGATTATACAATCATCTCTAAATAATCGAAATAGAAATTTTGACATTGCACAGATTAGCCGAGATGAAAGGAAAATAGATGTTTCCGTAATAAATGACATTTTTATCGCGATATAATTATAATAAAACAAACGACAAATAATAAATGCAATTTTGAGCGCTTCGTAAAAACGTTTTATTCAAGGAAAAATTTAATTATTTAAAGAACAAGTAATTTCCCCGAACTGATTTGTCTTTCACGTTCCAATTTTATCGCGTCATTGAGCAATTCGATGCTAATAATCGATCACGAAAAGTAATTTAAAAAGAATGTTGGTGCCGTACATCAGAAATTACGAGTCATAATTATAAATCATATCCACGGCATCTCGTGGTACTTACTTGTCAACCACCTGTTAAACGTAATTCGAGCACGGTGGCAAGTAAGTATGCGATTTTGGTTCCAAGTCCTTACAATAGGCTTTTTCAGTTTGTTGCTTGGAAATAACTTATCCGACGAAATTAAGCCGATTAGGCCTCGCGGTTATCAGCAACTGCGAAGAAAAAGTATCGGCCACGTTAAGGAAAATCTCGAATGAATAAGTGGATTATTCGATGGCCGTCTGCAGTCAGCGCGCGTTTATGTTTGAAAACGCCCGAGAGTATTGCCGGTAAGTTCGTTGACTCGGGTCGCAAGGCTGATCCATCCAAGAGAAGGTAATTTTTCGGGGAGAACGATTGCATCAAAGGGTTGCGAGAGAATATTAAAAGCAATACGTACGTCAAGCGCTGCGAGGGATGGCGAGCGGTATCGCCGATCGAGAAGGGAGGGCGAGCGAAGGTACGAAGAGGTGAGAATCAAAGAAGGCGAGATAGTTTGAAGATTCCGAAGTCTCTGCCGAAATGTGATCACTGCATTTTTTATCGAGCCCGAGGGATCGCGAACGGTTTCTCCGGTCCTCCCTACATCGAGAGCCTGCGTGCATTTTATCGCCCGGTCGCTGCGGGCGTTACACCTGCAGATCTCGATTTTCTTTCCTTTTTTGCTACGCAACGTGCCTTTCAGCACGGCCTAAAATCTTCCGACTCTGTCCGCTCGTTCGTTATCTATTTCGCGGTCAACCGCAGTTTAAAACTGAGTTTTTAAATTTCAACTTTTAAGGATTCTTCATCATATCAATCACCGATGAGACTCATCGGGAATCGTCCGCCATTCTTCCTCGTGTAAAATGAATTTTATTACTGTGAACCACACGGAAAAAAACATTTAGCTGCTGTAGCTAAAACTTAGTTAAAATAGGGACAGCTAATATTTTTAGTTGTGATAGCTCAATATTTTGCTACAACAGCAAACGGTTTGCTGCCTATGTGCACATGTGCCTATTGTATTAGGTGCGACAGCAAACGGTTTGCTGTCGTAGCAAAATATTGAGCTATCACAACTAAAAATATTAGCTGTCCCTATTTTACTAAGTTTTAGCTACAGCAGCTAAATGTTTTTTTCCGTGCACTTCTGAAGGACACAAATTCCCATGTAAGATATAGCATTCGTTATTTCGAAATACTTGAACATTAAAGTACATTTATTAAATGCGTTATTTAAATATCATCGTTGGAAATATTATTCCCTGATGTGACTGTCACTGTAACAAATATTGCTTTTTGCTTCGCAAAAACGCAATTTTCTTCGAAGTGCCTAGTTTACATTCTGTCTGCGAATGAGGGTTCTAACAGCAAATTAATGTGGTTATCACGCGACGTACTAATAAACCGAGGTGATCGTTCGTCGGATGTAATGTACTGTTAGAATCAAACGGCACACGATTTCGCTTCACTTCATTACTAAAACAGCAAATTAGACAGAACGACTACTACGAAATATTGCGCTTTAAATTATTCACAAGGCCCCGCGAGTTTGTAGCCCGATAACTGTCGATACTGCAAAATATCGCGGCGGAAAGTTTGAGATATCGAAGTTCAGGTACAGGTAGAGTTTCAACGTTGATTCAACTCGATCGTAAGCGATGGTCGAGATAGAAAAAAGGGGGCGAGACGGAAAGAAAGAAGAAATGGCACAGAAAAAAAGGATGCAAAGGTTGAGAGAGAGAGGGGGGGGAGGGGGGAGAGAGAGAAAAGGGCAAAAGAGAAGGAAGGAGACAGCGTGATGGTGAGAGAAGAAAGGAGGAGCGGAGGGGGAAGATAAATCGTCGAAGCTGCACTCGGTGGCCAATAAATTGCGCGGCACAGCCCCGAGGTTACCAAGATTGCTACGTGTCACATTCTTGCGAAAAATTGGACCGATGGAAGTATCTTAAAGCCAGGCAAATACGCGTCACGAATGGACACGTACGCGAAAACGTCAGACCACCCACCCAATTGTAAAACTATGGCAAAAATAATGGGCCCTGCTGCGTCCATTCTCTCCTTCGGCAAATACAACGCGAGTCTACTCCTTCCGTCTTATCGTACATTTGAAAGAACATAAGGTCGCTTTACCATTAATCATTGATATTACGTGCCAAAACGGTACGTCACACGAAGAAATGTAAAACTGCCTTATGGATGACTTTTTAAACATTGCGCTGCTCCTCACCGATAAATCATTTAAACTTATATAAAGATTAATTAGTATCTCTCTTACCTTTATCACGCAGAGAGACAAATATTTATCATTTCGCGCGACAATATGAATAAGAGGTTACAGAAAATTCCTCAAGACGATATTATACGAAAGTATGTAAATGTGTGCAATTTTTATGTGACATTTCGATTTAATAATAGCATACTTAAATAACAAGAAAATTAAAAAAATCCCACTCTCGCCACCGGGTATTCTCTAAAAATTCACATCTTAAACATTTGCATTGAGCTTTCGTTCTTTATTTAATCATTCATTCACGACTTCCTGCTCATATGTTCTGTACTTGAAACGACGTAACCGTCCTTCGAGAGCTCCTTCGCCGGGATGCAGAACCGCTCTTTTGATCTTATTATTCCCGAAGGATAAGCGGTCGCCGATCGTAAAGGTCGTATCTCTTGGCACATCGAGTTCAATGAGGCACACGAAGATCCGGCAGGACGAGGCGAAAAAGAATCGCGCGCTACCACGGAAGAAGATGAAGAAGAAGAAGAAGGGAGCAAGCAGGAGGGCGAAATAAGAAACGCGAGAATAAGAGTGGGACGTCGAGAGGTTAGCGGGTGGTTCAACCAATCTTCCACTTGGTTCGAGGTTTTACGAAGGGGGTAACGAATAGGGGTGGCGGAGAGAAAGGACGATTGCCAGGGAGGCGGCGGCGGGAGCACTCCAGGAGTTTACGAGAGGACCGGTGCATGAACACGTCAAGGTGGGGCCTGGGGCACACCGGTGGTTACCGTCCCGAATGTCCAGCACGTGTGTGAAGTCGCATGCACGTGTGCGCGTAATATACGTACACACGGAGAGGCGGCGGGGACCTTGGAACCTGCCCAAGTCGAGTGTCAGGGCACACTGTACTCGCTCTGAATACCCGGCATTAAAGCCGACTATAACGCTCTTTGGATCTCGATTATCGGCGATTCCACCTTTGAGGGTAAGACATGCGACTCCGGTAGGAAGCGCCATTAAAGATCGTCCAGCATTTCAACATTTTTAGAATGGAAATTAATATATTTGACAGATGTGTTAAACGGAAAAGAATTTCTCCCAAAGTTTATCCCGAGAAATCATGTAATCGTGGGACAACGTGGCATCTTGAAGGACTCGATATTTTCGTTTGTTATAATGATTATTTTGTATAACTCAAGCTTCCGCTCTTAATTTATATTTATATTAATTTATTATAAGTAATTATTTGTTATATGCACACTTGGAAAATTTGTGGTTTCCCGTTAAAAAAATTTTGTGTTAAATGGTCAACACATTCATGTGTTAATTTAACAGATTGCTCTTATGTTAATTGACCTCAAATGTAAAATTATTAAAATAACTGAAAAAAAACGTTAAAACAACACAATGTGTACTTATTTTTTAATCTTGTGCAATAGATATGTTTTATTAGTAACAAGATTTATCTGTTAAAATTTACAGAATAAAATATTGATCTTATTCTATATAACATTTAACTTATTACATCTGTAAGATGTGAAACTTACATTGAAAAAAAATTATTTTGTCATTAAAAAGATGTTAATTTTACACAAAATTTATTTCAAATTATTTTGAGACTTGCATTTATTTTGTGTTAAAATATTAACAGAGTATAAGTGTGATCATTTAACGTATCCATATTATGTTAAATTAACACAAAAATTTGTGTGAACCGTTTGGGATATGTGATATCTGTTAAATTTAACACAAATTGTTCAACTGTGTGTCATTGAAAAGGATTTCATTAGTTGATCGAAACGTTTGACCATTGTGAATGTCTTTATACATTAAACTTTTGTATTCCGCATCTAACATCCTGCGTCGGCTCTTACCGCCTTCCTTTCTGTTTCTATTTTATAGTTTATTATCAGAGATCTTAGACTACATTCGTTCTGTAACTTTATAAAAGTTTTTTGAAATTTACCATTATTAGTAAAATGTATACAAAGCATAATGGTACAATGTATGGTAAAATTTCAAGAAACTCTCAGAAAGTTTCTCCAAATGCCACGTTGGCCAAAATTTACATAAATTTCAGGGTAAATTTTAAGAGAAAATTCTTTCTCTTATAATCTTCTCTCGGTGTTATTCGATTTTATTACTGTGCTAAATTTTCGAGTTACACATAAGACACAATATATTATTGTGTAAAAGTGAGCTATAATTATCATAATTATTGAATATTTGGGGTCAAGCTCAATGGGGAGAAGAAGGGAGGAAGCGAAGCACAATTTTACATTAAAGAAAGCGCGATATCGTTATAATTTCATCCGTTTGCTTATTTCTTGGCATAAAATTCAATTTAACACATCAGATCCTGGGAGACTTCTTTTCAGAAGAGAGCAATTCTTTTCACTTCTAAATCAATCGCGGTTAAAACAAATTTGAATAGGATCCTTATTACAAGGATTTAAAACAGAAAATCGCGTAAGGGCCTCGTAGGACTTAATGAATTAAGACAGAAATTAGAAGCTTCGATTCTTTCGATTATCAGGTAAGCGAGTACTTGTTTAAACTTAGAAGAAATGTAACAGAGATACGATAAGATACATAAAAAGATTCTTCTTACGTGCGTATTTGAGAATCGGACGTCTACCTGAAACCCTAAGTTTCCTCTTAATTAACGACTTCAGCTAATTTTTATATCGACGAAGCTGTAACAAATAATACGGGCGATCCTTTTGAACGGACGCGAAATTAATAAGAAACAACCCATGGTTGATCTGTCTCGCGCACTGCAGTTGCAAAAAGTTACAGTCTTTTTTTTGTTGGCATAACTTTTAATATAATTCCTTCTCTTGCGAGTACACTGCTTGCGTGACGTATCCGAGCATTTGTTCCCGGCGTACTTCGTAATTTACTCAGTGCGTTTGCATGTTTTATGGACGTTATATAAAACGTCGGAAATATACGGCGTCTCAAATATTT